GGGTTACGGATGGAATGGATCTAAAATAAGCCCACTTAAATGCATTGAAATGCCATCTAAATGCTAAAGCACCAGAGATATGGGGGGACACTTTTTGCTGTTTTATCTATTGGGGAATGAGACAGCCAAAAGCATCAGGAATCGAGTAGTGAATGTGAATGGAGCGATTTGCTAGCTCTTGCAGATGGAAATAAATCTGAAGTCAAGGGGCTGGTTGTGTGTATTCTGCGTATCTGTCATTTGGAGAAATATCTTTAATTTTGGAACAAGGCAGTGGGGCGGGGAGAGAGAAAGCAACCGCAACCCAGACTGCTCTGGCTGCTGGACTCCTGACTGGTGGTTGGAGGGTTGGGTTGGGGCTCTGAAGAGCCGGTTCTGGCTGTGAAGTTCCCTGGACCAGGCACCGATTCTCCTATTTCACAGGGCTGTAGTTGGGAAGATAAAATGGAGAGGTGAGGACCCTTGCAAGCTGGGTCATAAAGAAGTTTCCCCACTGGAGGAACAAGAAAGGGGATGAAAAATATCATAAGAAATAACGGCCAGGTCCAATTCACCTGAGTTCGTTCTTACAAGTAAACAAACGACATTGGATCGCTCTGTTCAGAAAGAGCAACTTTTTGTCAGCTTGTGACTTAAAATTTTATGAACTGCCCAGAGAGCTTCAGCTACAGGTGGTAAAGGAACGTAATGTCGTGGTTGTCGTCATCATCTGCCCAGAAGTGGAATAAATAAATAATATGCTCTTAGTGACTGGGTTTAGCATGCCGCTGTCGTACTGATAAAGTCAGAAGCATTTTTCAATGGCTGGGCACTTGGAAGGAGACAAATGTTCGCTCTGCTTCACTGGATTTTTAAAAATGATGCTGTGCTGTGATTGCTGTGGCTGTTTCTTTTTAAACACTCACACGCTTGAGCATAGGGACTAGAAGATTGCAAAAGGATATAAGGACAGCCCCGCTGCTGCCGCTACCCAAGTCTTCCTTATCTGGCGTCCCGTACACACAGTGTCCAGCAGACTGCCCACGGGGAAGCCACAAGCAGGATGCGAGCACAACAGTACTCTCCCACCCATGTTCCCCAGCCACTGGGGCGCATAAGGATGCTGTCTCTGATTCTGTGGCTTGCTTATAGCCAGTGGGACAGGAACCCTCCAAGCCCCACAAGTTGGTGGTCATGGCAGCATCTCGTAGCACTGACTTCCATCGTCTGGCGACTCCCCCTGTGCAGGAGCGCTTCTTTTCGGCTTCCCAAATCTCCTGCCATCGCCCATCCGACCCACTCCTTTCGCTCGTCCGGAAAAGACAGGAAAGCAACTTACGCCGAGTCAGACGGCTGCTCCACGTGGCTCAGCACTGCCTAGGCTTACCAGCAGCAGCATTTCCGAGGGCAAACTATCCCGACCCAGTTTGGAGATGGTCAGGATGGAACCGGCAAAATGGTCAGCATGCAAAGCATGTGAACACTGAGCTATGGCGCTCCTTTTAAAAATAAAGTAAGATTCTGCTCCTCTTGGTTTGGGATCGTGGTGCACTTGACACAGGAAACAGCTTAACGCCAAGCCAGTCCCCTGGGGCATCGAGCTGAGCACCACGGCCTCGGCGTGGCCTCTGTCGACACTGACTGGATCGGCACCCGGAATTCCAGGCAGTCATTCCTCCAGCCTCGCTCGGAGGTGCTGCGACGGCACTGAGGAATTCTTCCTGCAAAGCCCTCCCCACAAGCCCCCTGCCCTGCCCCAAACCGCTCGAGAACTTTGTGAATGTGGATCCGTGACCAGAGCCGACCTGACCTGAAGCGCTCACCCACCCCACAGCACCTGTGGCGAGCCACAGGGGCTCCTGACCACCCGCAGGGCTCAAAATGCCCCACTGGGGGCCCGGGAGACCAGAGGCGCCTGGCCACGAAGCTCATTTTCGGCCCGATCTGCCTCACAGGGGCATTGCGGTGAGGCTGCACCGGCACAGAGGACGACTGTTGAAGGCACCTTGGGCTGCTCACAAGAGAACGGAAATTCTGGGTAACAACAGCAACAGAAATACACTGCGGCTTGGGTCCTACATAGTGCAAGGAGGTATATTGTATTGCAAGTACACACCTACACACCTTTGGAGCCTGTATACCTTTTGAGCTGCGTAATTGTTGCGAAATGCCCAGGTATAGAAATATATCTATATCTATATAGATATATAGTAGATAGATAGATGAAGATATAATATATCTTCATCTATCTGCAGGAATAGAAATATAATACATCAGTAGATTAAGTCACTATAGAATGGCTGGTTCTGAGTTCTCCCCTTTACCCAGGTACGGAGGGCAAAGATGGCAGGCAAGCTTTTCTCATTACTTTGGGCTTTCCCAAGGAGAACTCCTTAACCCATCATCGCTTGCTGTTTGCGTAGGAAACAAAGCCCTAGTTGTGCAGGACATAATTTCCCAGTTAAAGTTTTATGTTTACGGTTGCTGATTTAGGTTTTTCCCTTGCCTTTTATTTGTTCTGCTTTTATAAGTCATCTGACCTGTTTTTCACTTGTGCATAAATTCAGATTCCTATGTGCTTTCATTGTTATGCCTTGTGCCTCACTTTAGGCACTTTCTGTAATAAATGCTCGAAGAAGTTTAATATTCGTACTATTAATGCAGGTAATACCACGAATATTAATACAGCGACCATCCTTGTGACTGGGGGACATAATGTGCAATTGGACGTGGTGGCCCATGTCCAGGTACGGGTGATTCAGAAGAGCACTGTGACAAACTGTGCATGCAGGATGCTGGGGAAGGTCCCTCCAGAAAAAACTGGGACTGCTGCTGAAGACCTCGGCCAGGAAACGCTCCTGGAGCTTCGCATTCCAAAAGGCTCACAGAGAAAGTGCAGCCGAACTCAGACTTCTTAATGCAAACTTTAGAGGATCCCAGAGGCCACTTGTGCAAGGGGTAAAAAGCAATTGGTGGTGACAGAGAGTTTGAAGGGGGGAAAGAATTCTGGAAAGATTATGAGATTTGGGGAAAGAGTAATTGCAAAGCTGGATCGAGGGCTGCTTTTCAAAGAGGCCTAGACGGCACCGGAGTTCACCCAGTGGCCAAGCCAGAGGGTTGCTCTTGTCCAGTGACTGGCAGCTGGTAAATACAATGATGTCTCTGGAGATCTGGGGGTGAATGGCGCCCTGCAATCTGGCCTGCTCTCTCAACCACAAAGCGACGGACGCCACGGTGGCAAAAACAGAGAGCCAATCAGTCAAGCTGGCCCCATGGCATCAATTTGGAAAGCAGGAGTGATTCCGCGGAACGGCACTGGCTGTGCTCTGCCCTTATTTACAACATTCGTTAGGCTGAGTTATTGCTTCATTCAACATTTCCTCATAGAAGGGAATCGCTGCGGCTGCAACAACGTATTAACATTGGTGCTCGAGAAAGATGGATAGGGGCGGCCGGGAGAGAAAGGTGCCACACAAATGCAGAATGAATGGCCACGTTGGAAGCACGGTTCTCCATCTTTCAGCACGAGGCATCCCTCAAGAGGCTATGCAAGTGCCGCTGAAGAGCAGAAATTTGGCCAACAGGCCCGGTGTGTTCTCGGAGAGAATACAATCTGAACATGTGGAAGGGATGAGAAATCTCTTCCAGTCACCGGAGGTGCTTATTCATGGCCTGGTAGATCATCTCATCACATGGTCCATGACTGATTCCTCCAGCTAGAAAGGAAGAAGGCCTTTCTCAGTCCTGCCCTCTGGGACTGTCCCAATGGGATACTGAACTTGGGCTCTTCCGTGTGCAGGCACAGCATCTGCAGCCCTGTCCTTAACCAGGAGGCAGGGGTCTTTCTCAGAGTCTGGACACGCAGTGTCTTTACTGCGATCCCAAAGAGCACACCCATGACCCCATGGGCATGCCTTTCAGAGGCCAAGAACATTAGAAATGCAGATCGCATGAATCTTAGTGGTGACAGATGGAATTTTGCAAAGGTGAAACAACAGGAAGGCACATAAAGCCAAAATAATAGCACAATTGCTTTGCCCTAGAGAGTTAGGGATGGTAAGGACGGGTGGGGGGGACTTTGCCAATCCACAGGTTCTGATGCATGCCTGAAAAATGTCCATCTCATGGAAGGCTTGATTCTGTGACACCTTGTGCAAATTTCCTGAGCTTTTTTTTTTAAAGAATAAATGTTTTAAAAGCAGAAATCCATGTGCTCACTCAATTTGTGCCGTATGAAGATGATGCCAGCATGGAAGTAAAGGAAGAGAGGGCCACGTCAGGAAAATCCGGTATGTCCTCACTGCCTGGACAGGTTCCTTGCACATCCCTCAACCTGGGATCCAAGAACGCTGTCCCAGCAAGAATCTGATCTCGGCTGAATGGCCCTCTCTGCCTCCCCTCCAACACTGTCCTGCACCTGAAACAAAGCCAGTGATGCTTATGTTGGCATGGAGGGTCTTCCTCCACAGCAGGCAGGGTCTAATTGAGAACGCCCTCTGCAAGGGATCGGTTCAGACGTCTGACAAAAGCGATCCAGCCTTTCACCAGCTGCTCACTTCCTGGGGAGGAAGATGATGGAGCCCCACCCCCCACTTCTGGCCCTGGCACACCCCTGGCATGTCCTGATGGCCATCATGGTGTCCCTTGACAAAAAGAAAGGGTTGCCCCCACTGCAGTCAGATGGAAAAGGGGCACAAGAGATACTGTGATAAAGTGCAGAAGCTGAGGGACAGTCTTGCAACCTGGAGTATATTTCAATTTGCTTCTTTCTATATACATCGACAGGCACCCGTATTATGGAAAGGGATTAGATACTCCCAGGGTTGCCTAGTCTCCTATCCGCTTTGTTAAATGACGACCGACTTTACAGCTGCAACCCACTTTATCCCACCTTCTAGGAGTCCTCATGACCTGCTCCTGCTTCTTCTTCCCCATCAGTCAAGGGAAGTTCTGATCTCCGTCCGAAGACGGTTTCCTGCAGCCATCTCTGTTACGGTAAAGACGCCGTGAGAAGAGCTTACCCATGGAGACCTGGCAGGCTTAATTCTTGACCGAAATGGCGATGATTATGATGAAGCCCAGAAGAACCACCAGCCCTGCAGAGATCACGCAGCACTTCACCCTCCGAGCTTGCCGCTGGAATGGAGAAAGAAGAGACTAGGATGAAGGCATTGTCCTCAGGGTAGGACTGGCTAAATGCTTTTTGGGAAACAGGTACTCTGTGTTACATGGGTCAGACCCCACGGCTAGGCTAACTAGGAGCTGCTTCCATCTTCAGAGATGTGCAGATAATTGGATGCACTATAAGAGAGCTGTAGGGAAAGCATTTGTCTTAACTTGCGGACTGAGAGCAAGAGAAAAGAGAAGAGCAAATCTCTTGTGCATCAGCTTTTTGCATCCACGTAATCTCTGAATGTTTGACGTCATTCCTAGTCCTCCTTAGAGCTGTTTCTCCACGTTCCCAATATCCCTGTGGCACATGTGTTGAAGGCTGAGTAATCTACCTGAATAACCACTACGCAAAGTTTTACTGGCACCCTTCCTCCTTTTGCACAGAATCACTGGTGAACTTTGCAAAAAATAAAGAGGAAAAACACATTACAACAAGGTGTTGTCTTTTGTTCATTGTTTCTGATCTCACATTTACACTGCCCTGCAATGAACGTCTCACTTGTGTTCCAAAAGCTGTATCAGTCACGTAGTACATTTCCAATCAGTTCTGATAAAGGAGACAAGACGTGGGGTGTGTTGAAAGAGAACTGGACAAGGTGACCTTTTAAAGGATGTACAAATTATAATGTGTTGTCCAAATCTGATGACCTTTGAGGCAAAGCTTCCTTAACCTTAAACAACAAATTTGTGATTAAATATCACTGCTTCAGCAGTGCACTAGGAAAGGCCAATAATATGATTAACTACTTTATTTTATTTCGATGGGGAGTATTTATTTGAATCACAAGTAAGCGGTCAGACAGACCAGAAGTCTCAGTGTGAACAATGGGGATGGGGGAACCTCCCTGTTGTCACGGCTTCTCCTATCTGCTGCTCCTTGGGTACCATTTTTTCCCCCTTCTAAGTACCGCTTCTGCCCAGATTAGTCCCATGGGCATTTCCAGGCATTTGGAGAGCATGGAATGGCTGAGACAGCATCATGACACTGCCTAACCACTTGGATTTGGTTCTCAATATATCAGTGGAAAAATCAAAAGCGAGTGAGAGTGAAAGCAATGCTTTGTAGCAATGGCCAAGCTCCCTTGATCCCTGACCTTCAGGCCTTCTATTGTGCAGCAAAGGGTTCTGACAAGGTGTAGATCAGCCAGGCGCTCTTGGCTACAGGACCAAGACCTGCCATCAACCTCTGAGTCTGAAGAGCTCCTAGCAAAACCCAGATTGCAAAAGTCTCAGGTTACAAAATCAGGTGAGGACGCTTTAATATTCGCCTGGATCCTCCAGGTGGTGCGAAGCTGATCAGATCTCCAGCTCCCTTCGGCTCCCTACTGTGACACCGTCTTCCTATTGTCCAAATAGGATGGAGTCCCACCACCAGGATCCACTTGCAACTCCCCAGAATTCTAATTTCTTCCTGCTGTTATCTTATTACCGCCTTTCTCTGTGTCCCTCAAGGGGCCTCTGAATGGGAGATAAATGGGCATGGGCAGCCAATCAGGGATCCTGTAGTGAATTAAATTATGCCATGGTATTACATTGCCATTCTGATTTATTCATATGATCATGTTGATAAGCAGAGCAATCTCTAAAGCAGAGATCCATTTACTTATTTTTCAAATTCCCTCTATCCCTTGGATGCCAAGGGCACAGGGAAATGTACTACACATTTCTATCTCATTTTACCCCCTACAACCTGGGAGGCACATTAAATTAACTGATGCAGCCTCAAAACACAGAGATGGGGGTGGGGGGTTCCAGGGCCAGTCTCAAGAACCTCAGTGAAGACATGTGACAAGAAATGAATGATCCATAGTCAGGAAGGTCAGGCTTAGGCTGGTGCACCAACGTGACTCTACAATCCCACAGTGGCATTCTTGTCTTTCCCAGTGCTGTTCAGGGGTATCACCGTCCACATGAAACAATACTGGATTCTTAAAATACTAATGATTTAAAAAAGCAAACAAAACATCGATCCAGTGTAATTATATTATGAATAAAACCTAACAACGAGAATTATTACCCTAGTGTTGACTAACTTCCTTGTTTTTGTTTTAATGATAATCGAGGTATTTAGCAGCTGCCCTCTAGAAGATGAATGCTCCAGCTCTAGAAACCATTCTGCTTCTGATGTACAGATGATGTTTGCATGTGGGAAGGGCGAGATAATTGGCCAGTGGCTGCTGATTACTCCAGTGTCAAAGGGGGCGGGGTTTTACTGCAGATAATGTCCACAACAGTGACTCTCCTCTGCTAGTGTTTTGTTAATTTGTTCCACTGTCCAATAGTCAAAAGTTCTTTGGAAGGTTCACAGACGCTACAAACCACTAAAACAAGATTATAAGATCCCTCCCTCCCTCTGTGTGTGTGTGAGTGTAATCATACAAGTATATTTAAATAGCTAAAACACTCATCTCAGCTTTAGCCCAAGGAGGAAATTTGCAGGAAAAATCAGGACATTTGCGCAAATCTTCCAAACCATCATAGGTTAGTTTGTGCAATGTTCCCATTGGTGCAAACCAAGCAGCAATCACAACTGCAAACTGGGCATGAAATGTGTGGCAAGATTATATTTGGAGTATCCTGGAAATCTTGAACATCAGAAGTTCATCCAGCTCTATGTGCATTTAAAGTGTGACTTTTACCCCAATAAACAATCTATGATTGAAACAGATAAAATAAAAATGTATTTTTCAACTGTACTCACACGTATGGGATTCTATGAGGTTTTTTTTTTTTAATGTGCTCCCATTCCCTTGCATGACATCAAATGGGGCACGTTATGGTACAAAACCAGTGAACTGAAACAAAATGAAATTCTTGTACAGCACTAATTGTACTAATGCTCAATTGTAGTGGTAATCGAGTGGCAACATTTACATTTACCTACGATTAGTCATGGCATAACTGCTGCTAAGGATTGAAATCCTCTGCTTGATCCCAAAGTTATACGCATGGAAAACATACCAGGTGGGCCAAAAGAGTTCTGTTGATTAAACCTAAGGCCCACTTAATTCAGCAATTCAGTTTCCAATGCAGGCCGGGCAATCTGTGGATTGTATACCTTGCTATTCCTACTTAAAGTAGTCCTTTTGAAATGACGCATGTCTGTTCATGCAGCCCAGCATAGCATTTGCCTGGCTCACTTTGTTGGCTCTACGACACTTCCAAGATCCTTCTCCCTTTCAGTATTGCTGGGCCAAGTATTCCCCATCCTGTGACTGTGCATTCGGTTCTCTTTCCAACGTGCAGAACTTGGCCTTTGTCCTACTCAATTTCATTCTGTTGCTTTCAGCTCAGTGCTCCAACCCATCAAGATCACCTTGAGTCTTCTTTCTTCCTCCCAGGGTATGAGCCATCCCACCAAATTTTGTGTCACCTGCAAGTCTGATCAGCATCCCCTATGCCTCTTTGTCCAAGTCATTTCTTCGTCAAGCAATGTGGAAGAGCACTGGGCCCAGGACTGAGCCCTGTGGGACCTCCCTCGTTACCTCTCCCCAGGCTGAGAAGCTGGTCTTGAGAAGCACTGAGTCCGAATGTTTTGCCCTGCAGCTGGTGACAGCCCCATCCTTCATGAACAGCTCTATGGGAGTACTTGCTAAAGAAATCCAGAGGGTCACAGGTTCCCCTTCCCCGTATTAACTAACGTTGGATACAACCCCTGAGCACAACCCTGACTACTTGCTTGCAAAGAACTAACTGGTTGCTCATCTGGGCATCAGTTTCAATCATATCCTTTTCTAGCTTCCACATGCTTCAGGGTGATCTCAGGATACAGGCAATTAAGTTTTACGTTTGTGAACTAGTTGAAGAGCAAACTTTTCCTCCTTTATCAGGACAAGATACTTCAGTGATCCACTTACTCGAAGAAGGAGAAAAAAAAATCAGGACAGGCCAACCCAAAGTGATTACCAAAATAAGCGGATTAGAGTTAAAGAGAAGCTTTAATGACATAAAGAAGCTAGGATGTATGATGATCTAAAATAAAAGTTAAAAAACTAATATGGTAAGTATGAGGAATGTGACAACTCAACATAATGCATGTGATACATACTTAAGGTTTCTCACGTGGGACTCAGCGTGATGTGTGCGTAGCTGTCTGAGGAAGGGGATATAAAGTTGTCTTCTCCACTGAGCCTCCAAGCAAAGCACCACTCCTTCCTCTGGGACCAGAATAATAAACTTCCTATTCCCATGACTGAACTGGCAGGTGGTGGGGAAGAATGTGGGAATGGTCCCACTGGCCAGTGGTCATTCATCCATGATCCAAGAAACCTGACATTTCGGGTTCAAGTTGTACTGAGGGATAACCTGAGAGCCGGTGAAGGGACCAGACCTTGATCCTGTACCTGATGGGGCCATTTTCGACATGGCAAACAGTCACAGGATGTGATGGCCATGATTTCAATCTCTAAACTGTTCCACAGCCGCTGGAGTTCATTCCCCACTGCACAGAGAGCTTGGGAGTGTTGAGCAAAACAGCGGGTTTTGCTCACGTAGAATGAGCCATTGTTTGGTGGAAAAGCAGACTATAAATTAAATGCATACAGGAATAGAAATAAATCACCACCTGCAACCTATTCCTTGGAAGGCAATTGTCCAAATGGCCATACCCCCGGAAGAGTAGACGGGCACATGACTGCTGTCCCCTATTTGAAGGAGCCATCTACGGCCCTGTAATAACAGCTCCTAAAAGCACCTACCCTCATGTCAAATCTATTTGCTTGCCTAGCAAACAACACTTTTCCCAATATGGAAACCAATTGCAGGGCTAGCAGTGTGAGAATCTGCAAAACGCAAGCACATTCTCCAGATTCTATCTTGGTGTTCATTCTGTCTCGTGCCTGCGTCATATTGTGAATTTTGTGTTCTCTTTGCATAAGAATGTGTGCCTATATTCAGGCGTGTTTTTGCAAATGTATGCATCAGTTGCATGCATCTTTGAAATATACATATTCTTCTCCCATTAA